CCCATCTGGCATTTCAGAAGACTTCTCTATAAATGTCACACAACAGGTCCAGGACTTTGGGGTCCTGTGATACAGGCCCCGTTCTGCTACTTAAATTGCCCAGTGACCTTGGGCAATTCACCTCTGCCCCCAGGCAGCTCTCCCGGTGAGACTATCAGTGAGCAAGAGGATCACATGACATAAGGGCCTTCTCAGCTTCAGCCACCAAAGAAAATGTTTCCTCTTCCACAATTGGTTCTTTGCTGCTGAACTGACTTCCTCCTTTGGAAGCTTCTCATACTCCTTCAACCTCTTTTCTTGCTAATTGCAACCTCTGAGAGCCAAGTCGAGTTCACAACCTGCTTGCCGGGTTTCCCCCAGCTCCCCTTCCTTCCTCACCGGCTGCATTCCGGAGGAGGGGGCAGAACTCTGGGCTGGAGGGTGGTGGGAGCCTGTAGCTGCAGGTTCGTGTGGCTTCCCCGCGGTTTCTCTGTCCCCTCCCCCCCACGGAAACTCAGCCTCACACTTTCTAGGGATGATTCGGGGACAGCCAGAGTCAGTGATTGCAGCTGCCAGCCGCCCGCTTCTCTCTATGTGAGGTTCTCCAAAGAAAGTCCGTGGTCTTGAGTTAGGGCGGAGAAGGGGGTCTGGAGGGGCAAGCCGGAGGCGCACACCTTCCTAGCCTTTGCCGGGCTCTCCCGAGTGGAGCCCGCGGTCCTTCGGTGCCTGCCTCCACTCCCACCCTCTTTCCGACTTCCAGCTGGGACCCGCCATTGCGCGACCAGGCAGGCCCTGGCGAACTGAAGACCCAAGTCAGAGACGCGCGATTGTGACTAGGCCCCCCTCCCCAGCTCACCCCAGACACTGCTCTAGGGGAACCCGAAATCCCCCGATCGAAGCCATCACCCACCCATTAGGAACGCAGGAGGCCCAAGCCCCTCGGCTTTGTTCTCTGCTCGCGGGGAAGCAGGCGCTCGGTCGGCAAGCGCTGTCCGCCGCCGCGGTGCTGACGCGGGGAGAGGAGCCCGCGGGGGCGAGGGACTGTCCTCGGCACCCGGCACCCGTGTCACTAAACCCGGGCGGAACTAGCAAAGGAGATGACCGGGTGGACGCTGTCTGCCTTTCCAATGCTGACTCGGAGAGAGGACCCCGTCGAGCGCGGGAGCTGCTCCCGAGGTGGTGCTGAAGCGTGACAGAGCCCGTAGCGCCCTCCGCCTCGCCCCGGAAGAGCCGCCGGCGACTGAGAGCTACCAGGAGAGGGAAGGAGGGCCAAAGGAAGCCGCCTTTAGGAAGCTCCGCAGCGCGGGCCTAAGGCTAGGGTCTCTCTCGTGAACCTGCTCTAGGAGAGGAGGTGGCAGCTCATCAACAGAGAGCAAGCGCGCGTTCTACGAACCTGTGGAGGCTGCAGCTCCTCCTTGGCCGACCAGGGCGCCCGGGACCGAGATTCTGGCGCGCCTTTCCTTCTCTCTCTTCTTGGACTCCTCCGCCGCCGAGGCGCGCTGCCTCCTGCCTGAGCTAGCACCTGTGCACGCCGGGGGCGCCGAGCCCCTCTTTGGTCCGCCCCAATGTCAATCGATGTTCGGGGCACTGAGCCGAGAGGCCTCCCCCAAGGGCAGACCCGCTCCAGGGAGACCCAAGCTTCCTGAGAAAGGAGGCGGGGGCTGGCGGCGGGGACGGGAGAGGGCGCCAGCAGAGGTGTCTGTGAAACCAAAAGGGAGACTTGGGGAGTTCCCCACACAGGCAGTTCTGCCCTGAAGTTCGCAGAATAGAGTTTTCTAAACCTTCTCTTTATAAAGTGCATTTATATATAAATAGCAAACTCCTTGTTGTAATATTTAAGGACCTTCACTAGGAAAACCAGGGTCTCCTTTCAGTCAGTGTTCCCTCCCACCAAGACAAGATGCCCACTCTGGAAAGGTGCACACCAGTGCTTTCACAACCTCTGTTTCTTTTGGTTAGAACTTTTCGCCCTCACATGACCTAGACTTTATCTGCAAGTTTAATGTGCTTACTCTCAATGAACATTTCCCTGATCTAAGGCACACTCAACCAGCCCTCCCTTCCCTAAGTTCCCTCAGCCCCTCGGTCCCTTACTCACCTTATCACTTTGTGTATTATAATGCCTTCAGTTACCAGGCTGATAACAAATGGCTCAGGTTTCATTTTTCTCTGTACCTGCATCTCCTCACACGGTGTCTGACACACAATAGATGTTGCATTACATCAGCTGAATGAATGCACACATGAGAAGCAGAGGTCAATCAAAATAACTTCATGTGAGCGTTCACGAGTTCCATATATAGATATTATTAAAGATTTATTTGTGCATACAGAAAGTGCAGGGGCAGTGAGAGGCTTCACCAGAGACAGAGTGGGGAGCAGAACAGGAAATTGACAAAGTACACTGCTGAGGGGAGCAGCTGGCCGGTCAGGAGAGGTCTGCCGGCACCATGTGGTCACCTCCACCTCCGGGGCAGGTGGGAATCGAACTCATGTGGAAGTGGCTTTAACCTGCTGCGCCACCAGGGAGGGCCTCCATATATATTTGTGTGATGGTGTTGTTACCTAATCTTCCAGTTCATCATCCCCAACTCTCTCCTGACTCTGGAATTTTTTTTTTCTCACAGAGACATCTATTTTGTGGCAAGCTTTAAAAGATTGTTGTTTTGTTTTCTTGGAACCCTCATGACCTTGATTTTCACATGATTGAACTCTTGTTGTCCTTTGGATTTCTGCATTTCAAATGTCAATTCCTAAAGAGGCTTTCTCTGGCCACTCTATCTAATTTGCTCCCCCTAATTACTTTATAACGTTGGCTAATTCATTTTTCTTAGTAATTATTACTCTCTGAGATGATTTTATTTATGCATTTGCTTGTTTGTCATTGGCTTTTCTGCAACTAAATTGAAAATTGATGGGGGTAAGAACCATGTCTGTGTTGCTCACAGCATTATTTTCTGTGGTTAGTATCCTGAGATGATCCAATGTTCTGATAGCTCCTTTCTTCCTGAGATGGCTTGAACTATTGTTCTGGCTACGTGGAAGCTTCTATTAGCTGCAAATTAAAGATGTTAAGGAAAGAGGATCACACTCATATTCCATGGGGTAGTGAAGAAGAAAGAGAAGTTGAGTCACAGGTATGTGGCTGTATGATGACAGGTCTTAATCAGGCCCTTTTTTATTCTGGATAGCAAATCCTTAATGACCACTCACTTCTTCACATCCAGTAAAATATCATCACCTTCCTGATGTCATTTGATATTCATAGCAACCCATCTGGAAGGTATTATTCTCCTCATTTTCCATTGAAAATGATTGGAGACTACAGAGGCAGGCTGATCCAACCAAGGACACACAGCTCAGTAAGTGGTGACGCCACTCCTGGGACTGAGCCACATGCCGAGCAGCTAGAACTGAGACCTGGCTTCTGACTGTGAGGGTTTCACATGACTTAGAGACACAGGCACATACACAATGGATCACAACACAATCTGAGAGTCAGAAGTGAGTCTCAACCTGCAGATGGATGAGGTGGGGAGGAAATTGATAGGCTGCTGGTGTCAGAATAAACCAAAATTCTTTTCAATCACAATTACAATTTGTTCACTACTTCTGTGTGTTATGTACTATGCTTAGAGTGAGTAAGTAACTTGGCCAAGGTCATGAGGCTGGCAAACAGCTGAACTGAGACCTAACCTGAATTTGTTTGCATCAAAGCTTGAACTCTTAACTGTTATATACCCTAGACCTAATGAATCTGAATGTTTGGTGGGCAGGGATGCTTTTGGAATTTGAAGATGATTTGTAAGGCATTTTGACATATCTTCAACCCTATTGACAAACATTCATGCAGAGAGGGCTAAAAAGCAGAAGGAGGGATCAAGTCTGTTTGTGTGTGTGTATGTGCGTGTGTGTGTATGTATGTAGTTACAGGAGGTTGAAATTGGATCTTAAAGGACTAAGTGGGAATTTCCAGACAGAAAAAAAAATGTGCAAAATGTTTCAGACAGAGGAAACAGAATATTCAAGGGCCTTAGGGTATAGAACCATTACTGGTTTTGTTAGTGGTTAATGACTGTAAGTCTTCTATAAGGGGTAGGGAATGGGAAATGAGGCTACAATTCAGCCTAAACTTGGCTGTTTGCCTTTATGCTAAAGGCAGTGGAGAGTCACTGAAAGGCAAGAGCTCTGCTTTAGCAACTTTCATCATAGCCTTGATCATCCCACAGCAGCTACATTGGATCACTTATAATTTACGAAGTGTTTTCTACCATCAGAAATATCTCTGGAGTCATGTGAACCTGAAGCTCCATGAGGACACCATGCATGGATGCTTGTTTTTATTGTTCCCCAGCAGTTGGCAGAGAATCTGGAACAATGTAGGAGTTAGTATTTATTGAAGAGGAACAAACTGGAGGAATCTACTATAAAGACTGCTGCAACGATTCAAATAAGCGAGAAGCATCTCTTAATCAAGAAACAAGTATCTATTAATCTTAGAATATAGAATTCTTTGAATTACTGATTTGGGCAAGTAAAAATTGAGGTCCCTACCTCTGATTGATTACCTTGGGGAGTTTGGCATTTATTTAACTTTCCCAAATGGTTGCTGAATAATTGCAGCAATTTTCCTCTCTAACATACAGAAAAGCATGGTGACACCCAGGTGGCCAATAGCCAGCCATGGTTCCCCCTGCTATTTCACTGCATGTCTTTTGGCTTCTGGATTTAGGTCCCGATGGTCTCTGTTATGTAGCAATACTATGATGTGCCATTGTTTGTTCCAGTGTTAAAAAGAGTCATCATCATGCAAATGAAATGCAGACTTGGCTCATGAACTAAAATCTACCTTCTGTTTCTTTACCCCTCTGGGAAGTCCAAATGGACCCTGAGAATAGCTTATGTACAGACAGCTGACTTGTATCAGGCATTAGAACCTTTGACCTCCTATGAGATAGGTATGACTCTTACGACCATTTTATAGGTGAAAAAATAAAAAGAAATTAAGAATCTTGCTCTGGGTTATACCTCAGTAGAGATAGGCTTTAAACTCTGGCTGTTTGACTGAGGTCTACAGGCTTCAATACTATGTCTGACTGCCTCCCAGATAAAACCTTTCTGTTTTGTTTCCTTCTATACCTGTGCAAACCTGGGCAAATTATTTCATTTCTGAAAACTTCTGTTATTTCTCCTATAAAGTGGTGATAAAAATAGCTGCCAAGGAAAGATTCTGGGGGAAACTTATGAGATAATGTATGGAAACATCGAAATGATTCTGGTTTCTTTCCTGTTTTTCTTTCCTCTTCTGGATAAATGATTCCACATCTGCTCAGCTGCTTAGATCACAAGCCCAAGAGCCATTGCTGAATTCTTTCTTTCCCTCTTTATTCAGTCCTCCAGCAGGACATTTAAGCTCCTCCCACCAAATGTCTCCTGCATTGGCTTACTTCTTTCCTGCTCTATCATGCACCCCATGTAGCTTATACTATCACAATTACCTGCCTAGAGTACTGTCGCTTCTTACCTGGTCTCTCTCATTCTACTTTCGCTCCCCAAAGTGATTTTTAAAATGTATATGCCATACAAAAAAAGAATACAAAAATCATGTGACCAGATTAACTAATTATCACAAAGTGAGCATAATTATGTAACCAAGCACCCAGATAATGCAATAGGACATATGAGTTGCCACAGTGGCATTCAGTTACTTGTCTTCTTACTCCTCCTCAAAGGTAGTCACAGTTCTAGCCTCTGACACGGTAGATTAGTGTTACTGACGTTAGACATTATAAAACACGTGAACTTTTGTGTTTGGCTCATTGATATTCTTATGCACATCAGCCACATTATGGCCTGTGTTAGCAGCATGCTATTTTTCTTTCTCGTGTAGTATTCCCCAAATATCTCAACTTGTCGATGAAGTTTTAGGGTACTTCCAAATTTTGTATAGACCTTTCGATACATATGCATAAGGTTTTGGTGTTTTTGAGATATAGTCCCAGAAGTGGGGTAAATGTGTGTGTATTTAATGGGTGTGCATTTATTCAGCTTCAGAAAAGACTTCCAAACTGTTCCCCAAGGGGGAATACCAATTTACACTTGCATAAGCTGTGTTGAGTATTGTAATTGTCTTACATCCTCACTAACACTTGGGTATTTTCAGTCTACTTCTACCTGTAATCATCTTATAGATGTAGTGGCGATAGAGTGGGTTCATTTGAATTTACTTGATGATTAACAAGGTATCTTTCTACATGTACAATGAATACTTGGAAAACTTCTTTAGTGAGATGTTTGTTCATGTCTTTGTCAACTTTTCTATTGTGACATCTGTCATTTTCTTGTTGATTTGTATGAATTTTTTTATGTATTCTAGATAGGCTCCCCTAAGGTTACATGCATTATTAAGTGTCTTCTCCCAGCATGGGCTTGCACTTTTCCTTTGTAAATGGTGTCTTTTGATGGAAAATTTTCTCATTTTATTGCAGTATGACTGATCAAGTTTTACCCTTCATGGTGAGTACTTTTTGCTTCCTGTTGAAGAAATTTTTGTCTACTGAAGGATATGAAAACATTTTCCATATCTTTTAGAATTGTTGTTGTATTACATTTTGTATTTAAATTTGCAATCCACACAGTATTGATTTCAGTGTATGGTATGAAGTATGAGTTAAAATTAATTTTTTT